AAAATCAAAAGCAAAGAATTAAGATTCAAGAACATAAAGCCACCTGAGTGGCGGGAATCGAGCTCCGGCTCCTTGGAAAGAAATACTTTTTGGAGCCAACAAAAAAAAAGAGGTCTTTGTTAGAAGGAACTCAAACGTTGCTTCCTTGGTTTCGGGAAATCCTCGCCCGTTGAATCTAAAGAGAGGAAAACACAGATTTTTTGTTTATATATAAAAAGAGGCCAAGGATTATTATAACGAATATATCATCACCGACGTCTCCGTTAACTGCCGTTATGGAGAATTAACGTTTTATTTTTCTTCTTTCCCGGCTTTTGAAAACGCTATGAGTTAACGGTTTTAAAGTTAACGTTAGGGTGACGTGGTGGAAAGTTTTTGAACCTCAAACGGCACTCTAGCTGTGCAAAAAGCCCCCCATATCTATTAAATGTCGAACAAGTTTGGGGTTGGCGGATCGCCGTTGGGTTTCGCGGGTGATTCTTGAGCGTTGGATTGAGGGATGGTGTTCGATGTTTAAATAAATAGAAAGATAGGTTTTAACTGAAATTAATGTTTTGGACTCCGAATATCTTTAAGATGGGAGATTAACGGTTTGTAATTGATTACATGCCGTTTATACCTTATTTTAGGTTTAATTTAGACCCTTGGATTGAGAATTTAAAAAAATGTTTTTAAAGTTACGGGTTTACTGATAACCGGAAGAAATCCTATATAATTTAAAATTATAATTATATTTTTAACCAAGTAATTCAAAATTATAATAGACCCATCACAGTGCAGTAATTATGTGTACAAAAAAAATTAATTGAGATAAAAAAAATGAAAAACAATAACCAAATACGAAAGGGGATAGTTCATCTTACAATGTTTACAGGACATTTAATAAAGAGAAAATAACCTCAGTGACCAAAAATATCAGATAATATACGATTTTGATCAATTTTTTTTGGATTTACGAAAATGACCAACGAAATCGCAATGCGATCTCTAATTCGCATTGCGATCTCCACTATCGCAAATTCGCGTTGCATTTCGCGTTGCGATAGTTGAAAATCGCGTTGCGATTTTTCATTTCGCGTTGCGATAGTTGAAAATCGCGTTGCGATTTTCCATTTCGCGTTGCGATAGTCTACAGTCGCGTTGCGATTTTCCATTTCGCGTTGCGATAGTCTACAGTCGCGTTGCGATTTTCCATTTCGCGTTGTGATAGTTGAAAATCGCGTTGCGATTTTCCATTTCGCGTTGCGATAGTCTACAGTCGCGTTGCGATTTTCCATTTCGCGTTGCGATAGTCTACAGTCGCGTTGCGATTTTCCGTTACGCGAAATGGAAAATCGCAACGCGACTGTAGACTATCGCAACACGAAATGGAAAATCGCAACGCGACTGTAGACTATCGCAACGCGAAATGGAAAATCGCAACGCAATTTTCAACTATCGCAACGCGAAATGGAAAATCGCAACGCGATTTTCAACTATCGCAACGCGAAATGGAAAATCGCAACGCGATTTTCAACTATCGCAACACGAAATGGAAAATCGCAACGCGACTGTAGACTATCGCAACGCGAAATAGAAAATCGCAACGCGAAATGAAAAACCACAACGCGATTTTCAACTATCGCAACGCGAAATGCAACGCGAATTTGTGATGATGGAGATCGCGTTGCGATTTCAACTATCGCAACGCGAAATGGAAAATCGCAACGCGATCTCCAACTATCGCAACGCGAAATGGAAAAACGCAACGCGATTTTCAACTATCGCAATGCGAAATGCAACGTGAATTTGCGATAGTGGAGATCGCAATGCAAATTAGAGATCGCATTGCGATTTTGTTGGTCATTTTCGCAAATCCAAAAAAAGTTGGTCAAAATCGTATATTATCTAAGATTTTTGGTCACTGAGGTTATTTTCTCTTTAATAAATTCTCATTTTTTTATTCCAATTTATCTCAATCTTTCTTCGTCATTTATATATTAATAATGATGAGTTTTTTGAGCAAACATATTTAGTCGATTGATTGAGTTATTTGTCTATGTTTCCTCATATTCTTTTAAAATCATAAGTTCTAGAGTTATTAAGAACACTTTTCTTTCTTTTCTTAGAGTCTTCCTCTTCTCTTCTCCTCTTCTCCTCTAAGTAGGGGTGTACATCTTCGGATATCCGAAAATTTGAATTACTAAAATTGTGTTCCATATTCAATCCAAAGATATCCGAATTTTTTGATATCTAAAATTTCAGGTCGAATGTCTAGATATCTAAATTCAAATATAAACTTTAATTTGAGAAAAAAAAAATTTAGATTTAATAATTTATGACTTTATACAATATATTTATAATATTAGTATATATATTTATCAAAATATATCTGAATGATTCCAAAAATGAGTTTTTAATGAATTTAAAGACTTGAAAATCAAATGATCTAAAATTGAAACAAGAATAACAAGAAATCAATAATCATATCGCTAATATCTTCAATTGATTAGCAGCATTTAATTAGTAGCATTTAAGTAGCAAACATGATATAATTATTGTTGTGCATAACATATAGGTAACCTTGTGCACAACAATTGCCAACCTCACAATAAACCATGCTAAAACAAATAAACCAACAATTGAAACATAAAAGCGTTCTTTTTAGTGTAATTCGGCATTTGAAATTTGGACTGGGACATTCAATTATTTAAGGTTGGGGTATTCGGCATTTTAGGCTATCGGCGGACTGGTTGGCTGGACCTGGGCACTCTTTTATCGAATTTTTGAATAATCCGAAATTAGAATTTACTTGATTTGTATTTGATTTGATAATCCAATTTTTTCAAATATTCTTTCTAAATTATCTTCTAAAAAAACATATTAGATATCTGAATTTTCAGACATAATCAACGGAACAAATCGATCGGATCAATTTTTTTTGCATACTCCTACCTTTAAGTAGGATTAGCATTAGATTTAGAATTGAGTTAAAATAAAGATAATTTTTAATTAAATTACTACGTATATATTTTTTTTATTTTATTTTAATGGTGGGCTGGGCCTAGAAATCCAAAGGACTAGGAATAAATTCAAATGGAAAAGAAAAAGGTATATGTTAAGTATTTTTTTATTATTATGAGATAATTATAAGATAATATTTGTTTAAAATGCTTTCAATCATTTATTAATAAACGTTCATACATTCTTACAAAACGTCGTATTCAAACTCAAAACTTTAAGGAATAACAATCATCCTTTAGGCGTTTCTCTATTTATTTACAGGAATCTTTCGTGACTTCAAAACCTGTGTTTTGCTTTAGGTTTTGGGGGATTGATATGAATTATAGTATATAACATTTAAGAGGGATTTAACAAATATTCATTAATAAATAATAAATTCTAATAAGAAAAAATTTCGACAATCAAGTAATATACCAAGATGTAAATATTAGCCTTTAGAGTTAATAGATTTGAAAAGAGACGTAGTACTTAGAGATTTCTTTTATTTGAAAATTGTAAGACGGGTTTGTAGTTTTAGCTAATGGATGATGTTTTCATTATTTTAGGATCGTAGAAATATAAATATTATTTTTTAGTAAACTATAAGTTTAGTATCTCAATTATAACTTTTATTTTGTTTTGGTCACTCAACTATTATTCTTTTCAAAATCATACCTAATGTCACATTTTGATTTCATATTGGTCACTCAACGCTAAAAAATAAGCATAATTGTTGATATGACATATTTTTAATGATGTTGTGACATTACGTTATGATGACATATCAGTATCACCATTAAATTTAATGGTGGTGACCAAAATGAAACCAAATTATAATAATAAGTACGATTTTAAAACAAAAAATAACTGGATGATCAAAACAGAATAAAAGTAATAATTAGGATATTAAACTTGTAGTTTACCATGAATCTTTTATCGTCTTTCTCGTGTTATTTATATATTATCAACAAATTATCGATAAATTTAAAATAAAGTACACAAATAATCTTTTGACTATAAGGTGTTATTTTGTAGAGTGCTTTGACTATTGAAAGTTATAAAATGATCATTTAATTATAAAATATTATTTTATTGATTCTCCTAACTATTAAAAGTTACAAAATAGTCATCTGACTATTCATATGTTCTAAATTCGTCATTTTTCGTTAAAGAAATATGGCAATCGTCTAGACTAGATGTTAACACACTCACTAGGATATGACAAAAGTTGATCCTAGAATTGTTTAAGTTATATTAACATCATTAAAATATAATTTTATCATATTTCGGTCAACAGATTAACGTACAGTTCAGACGGTCATCAATTTTTAACAAAAGAACGAGTTTACAGCATATGAATAGTCAGATGATCATATTATATCTTTTAATAATCAAGTAACTCAATGAAATAACATGTGTACACTACAAATTTTCGATACCCTTTAGATAAAACAAATTGACTCGAATTTTAAAGTCTCTCTTAACCCCGATGAGTAGCCTTTAGTAGTATGGTCGAATACTCGGATCCAAATACTCAAAATGATTGATGATGGGGCCGAAGTAAATATTCTTGAAACCATTCATTCTGTTGGTCTGTCACTGCTGAGTAGCAGTTAAAATTGTGGAGGATTACTATTAGTGCAGTTAGAATTCGGTCATTCGATTTTGAGAATAAAAGTTAAGTAATTATGAAAATTGTCGTCGTCCAATTCCCAAATCCCAGAAAAAGAACATATTGAAGATTCCAAGAAAAACATCCTTTACCAAAGAGAGAGACCCTCTCATTCATTAGAAACCCCGCTTCATTCATAAAGTATAGATGCAAATTATAGTTTCTCCTCAGATATAACGGAGACGCTTACACCACTGTAATATCTGAACACACACCAAGCAACCATGGCCTTTACAAGCAAATCCCTGATGAAAATTTGCTTATAAGCAATGCCCACTTTATTCTAATAAAGAAAACCAACAAGATTTATTGTTAAAAAGAGAGAGGCCCCTCCTCGCTTCCTTTAATCTTTGGCTCATTTACAGTTGCAAGGGTTGCAGGTGCAATTGTCTCCACACTTGCAGCCGTTCTCAGCCCCAACTCCCATCTCAGATCCCTCAAAGTGCCTGCATCATTCAAACAAACAGTGAGAGAAAAAAAAGGATTTATAATCCAAATTTTCGCTTCTTTTGATCTTTGTTATACGTACGGTTTCTGGGGTGCCACGCCAAGAACAAGAGTCTCAGTTGTGGATTTCTCGACAAAGCTCATTTCCCTCGTGTCCGGGTACATCTTGCATCTGTATAAAGAAAATCAACAACGAAAATGAAATGAACAGTTTGATGGAAAAGAGATTTTTTTACTTCATTTTGAAACGAAAAACAAGAAGGGGGGATTTTTCAATGGAAATGAAAAGGGAAATTGAATTACCCTCCACAGCCGGAGCCGCATTTGCAACAGGATACACATCCACAGTTTCCTCCACAGCAGGACATTTTCACTCGAATGAGATTTGGATTCGAATTAGCCGCTACAAAGAAGAATAACACTCGACTGGGTTTCTGGGAAGTAAGGCATTCGAATTTATAGACCGGGAGGGACGATAGAACTTAAATAACAACCGTACACGTGTCATGATATTACGGCATGTTTCCCCTCTTTCAAGGTATTTGTATCTCTATATCATTACCATCTTTAAAATCTTGGGTAAATGACACAAATGCTCCCCATATTACAGGAAACTGCTTTTTTGAATCCCAAACTATTAAAAGTTACAAAATCATCACTTGAATATCAAGCTTTGTTTTGTTGAGTCCCTCGATTATTAAGAGTTAAAAAATGGTCACTCAATTATTAGTATGTTCCATACTCATCATTTTCCTTTAAAAATTTGACGGTTATCTAAGCTAGATGTTAGCATGTTGATTGGGATACGATAAAATGTGATATAAGAATTGTTTGAGCTATATTTTGTGGATCAATTCTCCATTTACATTATGTCATCAAGCCAATGCTTGGAAGCAACATCAGTGTTAGCATACATCATTAAAATATAATTTCATCATATCTCAATTAATAGGTTAACGTCCAGCTCAAATAGCCATTAAATTTTATAATAGAAAAGGATTATTTTGGAACATATGAATAGTCGGGTGACTATTTTGTAACTATTAATAGTTGGGGGACTTAACATAACATCATCCTATAGTTAGGGATCATTTTGTAACTTTTAATAATTAATGAACTCAACCAAACAACGTCCTATAATCGAGGGTTCATTTATGTACTTTACCCTAAAATCTTATGTAAAAATATATTTTTAAAATAAATTTTAATTGCAGTCATTATTTTTTTAAATATATATATATATATATATATTTCATATAATAGAAAGATATTAGAGCTATTACTGTTAAAAGAAATTTTGTAAGCTCGATCAATCAACTAAAAATCGATAATAAATTGATTTTTAGAAATTTTGAAAAAAAATTAAATCAATTTAGAGTAATTCGACTTTCTCAATTAAAGTCTACATCCACAATCTTAATTTTTCACCACTAATAATTTTTAAATTTACTAATTTGAATTGAGCCTTTCAAAGTTTTATTTGTGTAAATAAATGATACCTTTTAACATGATTTTTTACAAAGATTAAGCTCACGGAGAATGAATACCGAAGATATTCAATAAAGATCAATACATTATATACAGGAGAAAAATGAAAAAATAAATATTGCAACTCTTTTCTCTTCCCTTTAAGTTTGGATAAATGTAGTAATATTCTTGAATGATTCTCGAGTTACTTTTTATGATATGGAATGAATTTTTGGTGGTTTATGTTTGAGATGAGTTACAGATCTCTAGCGATTATTATTTACTTAATGGATGTTTTGAAATCATTAGAGGGAGCTTTAAAACCCTCAAAAGTAGGATGAAAAAAATATGAATATTAGAATAAAGGGTTTAGAAATGAGGAAGGAGATTTCTAAACCAGCCAGGAGCTTTGCAAAGTTAAGAGTACAATGTCCATAAATTTCAAAATATTCACGAGGGATTTCAATAACTATATATTGATAGACTTATGTCGTCTCTCTGTAAATTTTAAAATAAAGTTATTTTCTTTCACATCAACAAAACCAAAAAGGAACATATCCTTTTATCATCCTTTGCCTTTTAAAAGAATGGACGAGCTTCCACAAACAACAAAGCTTTTCTTTTCAATTTTAGGTGCCAATAGAAGTAGTGTTTTAACTGTCCGCTAGGGAATGCATAGATAGTCAATTATTGATGGGGTCACATACTAGAGCCATATCCCACAATATTCAAATTATTTGATATTATTTTTATAATTCGTTGAAATTTTAAATAAATCTACTGCAGAATGAGCAGCATTTGCAGCAGTTTGGTACTGATGTTTTCTGTGGGTCCAAAAAGAACCGAGTTCGATGAGAGTGGAGGTGGGAATAAATCTTTTTTGGATGCGGGGGGACAACAAATCCCTTCAACTTATAATTTCAACATTTCTGAAACCACTTTAATTTCATCATTGCTACATTCATGATCATGATTCATGCAGGCATGCACGTGCCTTCTTCTTCACCATGCCCCATATATTATGCTTTCTCTTTTCTTCAAGGTTTATGCGTTTTGCTCTGAATTTTGCATGGCAAATAAATATTAGCAATTCCTAATTTATTAATCAATGTCCCCTCCCTATATCTGTTTTACGGTAGCATAGTAAAATAAAATATTATTCTCTTTAATAAATTTAAATTTAAATAATTATATTTGTATAATATATATATATTATCTATAATTAAAATAAAAAAATTTATGAATATTTGTTATTTTATAATCATCTTAAATTATTAAAAAAAAACTAAATATTTAATATTTTGTTCCGTTTCATTTTTCAATCCTTTATAGTTTTTAAATTTTCAATATTCTAATCAAACATCGTATTATTTTCTTTTAAAATTAGATAACATGCACAAATAGTTATGTTGATTCTAAAATATTTTTATTTAATCTTTCAACTATTAAAAATTATAAAATAATCAAAAACTAATAAATTGTTTATTATCATAAAAAGATAACTATAAATAATATAACATTTAATAAAATTAATATAATAATAAATTTAACTATCAATTTTTATACTTTATTTTAACTTATCCTTGATTAAAAAATACTCTCAATATTTTAATATTTTACTAATCTAATCCATAATTTCCAAAGTCCATCTATTATTCTAATAAAAAAATTAGGTAGCCATTGGAAAAATTCAACACTTGATCAAGTCATGGCTTAGCAGAGCACCGATTTGCAGCAAGAAGACACTTACAAAGATAGACACAACATTTTATATCAGGGACAAATTTATAAAATTTTAAAGGGATATAAATTTATAAAATTTTAAAGGGATATAAAATTATAAAATTTTAGGGGATGCAAATAGATTTTGAATAGAAAATATAAAGAAATATTTATAAGTTTAAAAATTTTAGGAGGACGATCACCCCATCCACTCGTGCTCTCGATCCATTCCTAAACACCAATATAGGATCCAGTGAAGTTCAAATTCTGCTGGAGAAAGCATCAGTTATGGGTAGAGGCATAGTGGGTTGAGCTTAACCTCTGGCAGCCCTAGATGGAACATGATCTCTATTGTGACTCAAAGAAGAAGCTTTGTTGGGGAAAGGAAAATCTATTACTATTAATCAAACCATTCCCCATGCTTGAATTACAAATTGGACACAGCTTAGGCTTACAACGTGGTAAAAAAAAAAAAACAGAACCCACCGTATTTTTTTTTAAGAAAATACAGAACCTAGTCTCAAACGTGGTTAAAAAAAACAGGCATATTTTTTGATCAAGGGAAAAAGATTCAGATACGCCCACCGTGGGGCTCGAACCCACGACCACAAGGTTAAAAGCCTTGCGCTCTACCGACTGAGCTAGACGGGCTTAGATGACGTTGAAGGCTTAAATTTATTAATATAAATAAAAATCTATAACTTCAATAATAAAGTGAAAATCGTTTAAACTGAATCTATAAATCAAACATAGAGCCAAGCTACAAAATCGTTCGTCTAACTTTAGATTAATCCAAAGGTCAAGTTGAAGCAAGTAACCAAAATATATAACTAACTGATAAAAAAGACTTTGTTTGCAATTGCAAGAAAGGCAGATGAACGCTCAAGTCACAAGCAAACGTTAACCCTTGAGTCCATGTAACTGTAATTGTGTGTCTATCAAATATTTACAAATAAAAATTATTAAATTGAAATCAGATTTGTTGAAAAATATATAATTATTTGATTGAAATTAGAAGTATCATGTCATCAAGCAATGTTTGGGTTTGTTTGGGCCAAAGTCTTAAACTTTTTCATTTGAGCTGAGAATTCATAGTTAGGGAAAGGCCGAAATACCAAATCAGGTTCAAACGAACATTTTGTTTAATAATATTGAGTGATTTTACAAGATAATATTTGTTCATAATTTTCTTAATTCCACAGATACACATGTTTAAATTCAAGACTTTTAAGGAGAACAACATTCACTTTAACCACTGAGATCGCTTGATGAGTTCCAAACGAAATTGTTTTAAAGGCGTAAAAAAAATTAAATTTTAAAGTATACTAATACCGACATATATTTAAAAGATGTTATTATAGATTATTAAGTTAAAAATGTCACCCCTAACATATTTTTTCTGTATCTCTCGTTTTTCGTCTTTTCTCATTTCCTTTTTTCTTTCTTTTATTTCATTTACGAAAATGCTAAGTAGATACCTGGCCTCGTATTTTTTTTCCACATCTGAGTTTTCTTTTTGAGATAATCTTTTTTTTTTCTGTTGTTCAAATTTAGTTGATGTTTATGTTTTTCACTTGTTTCTTTGTATATTTTTTGAGTTATTGTTTATCGGATTTGATATATATTTTTATTTTAAGAATTGATATTTTTTTATTTCTCTGATTTTAAAGTTAGGTGGTGGTTGTTTTTTTACAATATTCTGCATGTACTTTTTTGTTGTTGTTGTTATGCTATTGTTGCATCATGTATTTGTTTATTTTCATTTTACTTGGTGTTTTTCTATACTATTTCTATCTTTGTAAAGTGTTGGTGTCCTTATTGACATTTTATTTTTAATAAAATGTTTTTCGCAATAACAAAATAGGTTTGTAGTGGTATTTTTAGCGGCATTTTTTGAATAAATGCTGCTATGGATAGATATACGGTGCTGTTTTGGGGAAAACGCCACTAAGACACGTATATTAGTGGTGTTTGGAGAGAAACACCGTTAAATATGTAAATATTAGTGACATTTTGAATAAAACACTACTAAAATCACTCACATTAGTGGTCTTTGCTAAAAAATGCCTCGAAAAAAAAAAACGTATTGCGTTTGTCTAAAAAAACGCCGCTAAAGGCATACTATAGTAGTGTCTTTTTAATAAAAGCCGCAATACTCATCTGCACTCTTATTCCCCGAACCCTAATTTTCAAATACCTATTTTTCATCACCAACCACCTCTTCGTCGTCTCGCT